TTGCTCCATCTCCCACTCACCTGTCCTTGTGCATTAGTGACGAGTTGACCTGTGACCCCCTGAAGACTGGAGAGGGCATTGCCAAAGGCCTGGGAGCTTGCTATGGAGCCCATGGCTGCTGCTGCTGCAGCGGCTGCTGCTTGACTTGCTAGTGGATTATTAACCAGCTGAAAAAAAAAAAAAAAAAAAGAAAAAGAAAGAAAAAGAAAAAAGATCATGATAAAACCCCACGATAAACACAGAAACAGAGTGCTAACTGGATAACATAAAAGGGATTGCACAATCACTTTTATGTTATTTTAATGGGTGGGTTTTTTTCCCCACTTAAATGTGCATAAAAACCTGTCTGCTCCGAGAGCTTGAGTAGTTCTGAGAGGATCTTATTTCTGGGGCTTTGACAACAAATAGTTTTTAAAAAAGCAGAGAGAATTCCATGTTAATGTTGAAGAATAAAATTCTCTTTTTGAACCCTATATTCTCTTTTTCTTCTTTCTTTTTTTTTTTTTTTTTTTTTAAATGAGTTATGCTTGATGTGTTTCCTGAGGTTCAATGTGCTAATTCCACAGGTGTAGCAGCCTAGTATTGCTGTAAACAGCAATCAGTGAAAAATTAGAATCTGATTTGAGTGGGAGTGGAATATTTACTTGGGCATATTCAGAACAGAGACTATTTTACTAATGATCCCAGAAACAAGAAAAACCTGCAAATCCTTTTAATTGTCATCATTAAAGAATTTGTCTCAGCAGCTAGATGCATCACAGCAGAAGACTCAACCTTGTGATTAAGTTCAGTAGAAATCAACAAAAATTCATTTGCAAAATATGATACTGAGCAACTTACTGCTCTTCAACTGTGAGTGATTAATTTCAGGACTCACAAGTTTTCAGGAAATGAGTTTTGCTCCCTGTTTTAGTCAATTCTACCCGGGTGCTCCATAGAAAGCATAGAGTATAATCATGGCTTTCACCTTAGAAGACTATCAGAATCCCACAGGAGGGAACACTCCAACCAGCATTTGTGTTTATCAAACATACAAAATGTGTGTTCTTCTGTCAGAAACAAAATACCCTGTGGGATGTGGCTTTTCTACTGGATTATTGGGAAGTTTCTATTTTCTTATCCTCTTCTGCGAATGGACAAAGTTTGAAGCAAGAATAAAGGGCTGACAGTAAAAAAAAAATAAAAATGTTAGGAACCATCATCACTAGGACAGCTGCCTTGAGAATAATCAAACTAACTGAGTTCAAGAGGCTGAAAATATATTCTAGAGTCCATTTGCCTCCTAAGAGTCATTGCACTATAGTAGAACTTGCAAAATGCATATTAGGAGGATACTGCAGCCAGAAATTTGAGGGACAAAACTAGGGACATTTTTTCCTAGACTGAGGTGAAAATGATGGAGCTTAAGGTTCGAGCTGAAATGAGTAGTAGTTTTAAGCCCTCAGATGACGAGTAAATTATCAATCCTGTAGAACCAGAGAGTCACAGACACCGGTAAGGGATGTACTTCGCAGACAGGCTCCACTTCAAAATAGGTTATAAAAAATTAATCAGTGATTAGTAGATGTTTTAAGCATGTTACAGATATGAGTAGTGTGTATGTTATAGATGTTTAGAAGCCCATCAATAGAATATGTCAGATATGGTTATAATCTATGCTTATAAGAAACCTACTTGTCTGTTCGACATTGCAAAATCTACAATTGATTGGTCATACATTAAAACATCTATTAATCATTCATTAGCCCTTCATAAAGTATTTATAAATGGAACCTTGATATAAAGTGTTGCTTAAAGGGGTGCCTTGAGCACATCCAATCCCTCTAGAAATCGTAAAGTAAATAACTAAATAAAGATTAGTAGCAGTGCCAGACAGAAAAGATGACATTGTTTGGAGGAAATATTTTGATTTGGAAAAAATTGTTCTATGAATCTCTAAAAGCAGTCTGCAGCATCCTGTGGCAAGAAAATCAAGCAGGAGTAAAACACAAAGGGGGAAAACTGCAATGAGTGCTTGATTAGCAGTCCTGATGGGCTGTGAAGAGAGCAGAGACCAGCACAGTGACCAAGGCAAAGCTCAGTCCCTGAATGCAGACTGCAAGTCCACTGACTGCCCGAGGTGTGAGCACAAACGTAGTTGCATGTACTCCTCAGTGGTTTGGGTGGTGGTGCCTGGGCACAGCAGTGTAATGCCAGCTAATAGCAGAGATAAACTTGCAGGTTTCCTGCTCAAAACAATGACATTTGTTTATTGTCCAGAGCGGGAGCTGGTAAAGCTGCCTTTTTTCCCACAACACTTCATGGGCAGTACTGGGACTTGGAGTAATTCCCTTGTAGCTGTAAATACTTGGAGAAGAAAAGGTCAGCAGCAAAAGTGTAAGATTCAGAAAAGGCCTTCTACAATCTTATTAGTAACCCACAAATCATTGCACCTCTGATCCCACAGCATCTGACTGCAGGTATAAATGATAATCTTTGGGCAAATAAAGCAGTTACCTAATAAACAACACTGACTGCTATATTCAGGGCTTCAGTGGCATGTGGGAACAACCATCCACAGTTGGGAACAACCTGAGGAACATAAATAAGCTTGTGAAGCTGGAAACTAGAAAGAGTTAAAACCTTCTAAATATCAGGCTATCATCTTCTAGAATCTCTTTTCCATTTTTCTTGCTCCAGTTTTCAAAAGAATGTACATTTTCAAATACAACAATAAAATTAATTTACAACAAACCCTGGAGACACTCAGGATTGCTTTTAGTTGCATCACAGAGATAAGCTACTTATTAAAAATGATGGCAGAGGCTGCGATATGCATAGGTACCCTGCATAGTACCATGTTCCAGGAAAAAGCACAGTGAATGGGCCAACTCACAGGGTAAGAGACTTCCAAGTGCACATGAAACCATCCTTATCTATTAAAAGGCCTGATTAAAAAGGAGAACATGCATTTTGCTTTGACTGCTTTGGGAAGCTGTTGACTGCAAGTTATGCTCTGTTAAACTAACCCCTTTTATCCTGTCTGAAAACTGGGGATGGAGAGATACATCTCATTTCCATGCTTGGACACCAAGGTAACACATAGAATCTTTGTTTTAAAAATAAAATCTCTGACTTGAGAGATTTCTGCTATTTCTCAGTGCAGGTTGGATCCCTAAGTATATTTATTAGAAATATTATAAATATATTATGAAAAATCCCACAAAGGGATCTACCCATTTTGTTTCTGTATTTAAATAATGATTTAGTTTGGAAGGCTGAAATGTTTCAAGATGTCAATTCCATTGCCCAAATTTCTGCTCCCACTCAGAACTCCAGCCATCACTGTAGGTAACAGTGATCTTAGCCCTCTTAAGGATGCCTCTGCTGATGACATGGTTAT